ATGTAGTCATCCTGTTTCTCTCTCGATACCATAATCCTCATTGTTATAAGTTTTAATTAATAAAATGTTTTTTTCTTTTTGGTTTCCTTTCGGTTTTTTTTACCACATTTATCTATGATTGATTGCAAAAAATCATTTCATTGCCTAACTACCACTGATTTATTCAATACATCTTAAGAAATAGCTCCGCACTTTCTATTCCCGCATATAGACATATTACGTACTAGCATCTTCTTTAAGTATCGGTGGAAGACATTTAACTTTAAGGGACTGCGGGAAATTTATCAGGAGAGGGGGCTGGGAAATGAGCCAGAAAATCGAAAAAATTTAAAAATGACAAACCCCCCTCCCAAACGAAATAAATTACGCTCCCCCCCACCCCCTAACACACACCCGCCCGTGAATTTATTTATTTGGTATTCATGAAGAAAGAAAGTTGTCACGTTTTTCTTGAAAAGTTTTTCACTTCAATAAGTATTTTGCCGAGATGCACAGAATCTGACAACGTTATCTTTTCAGTTTCAGTTAAAGTTCTAGTTAATTTTAGACGATACCCCATCTTAACACATAAAATTATATTTAAAGAACCTTCAAATTGAAGTGTAAAAAGTCGTATATGCAATTCAAGAGATGGGGTCGTGGCAATGGTTTTTGCATAGTTTAAAACACGAGAGAGAGAGAGAGTGTTTTATCAGGTATAAAGTTAGTAAATAACGTAGAATAGACGCGTATAAATTTTGTGGACGCATTTCTTGAAGCAATAAATGAATTAAGTGTTGTTGATTCAATTGTCCTCTTACGCGAGCTAGAAAACAATGGTACATTGGCTGAAAGTGTCCACATAATGGAATTTGTATGTCCCAAAAGATGGGGTTTTTGAAAGCTTTAGGAACTAGTAGGAACGATCCGATTACTAGAGTGACCACAATGTATAGTTTAAAACACGAGAGAGAGTGTTTTATCGCCTTGGGCTCGAATCTTTATAACTGATAAAACACGATCTCGAATGTTTTAAACGGCTTCAAAAACTCCCACACCAATTTGAAACTCAAATCTGTTAAAATTCTTGGAGAAATTGCCGTAAAAATCAGTTTTAAGATAAATGGGGCAAACTGATCATGCGCGAATCGCTGTACAAAGCACTCTTGTCATCCTACATATACGTATTCATCCATGAATACGGATAAAGTAAAATAGAACCGCTGTGGCTGCTTTATTGCACTCGATTGACATCCTGCATGGTCAATTATGATGTATCAAAACTGAGACCTTTGCTAGGGTCATGGACCTTTATTTCTGATAAAGGTAACCCTTTATTAGTATTCTTTATATAAAGAATACTAATAAGGAGTGTTTTATCAGATTTTAAGGTCCATGCATGTGACCAAATAGGCTCATTCTATTGGTCAAAAGTCTCATTAAACG